GCTAACACCATCTCTCCACAGCTAACCCCATCTCTCCACAGCTAACCCCATCTCTCCACAGCTAACACCATCTCTCCACAGCTAAGCCCATCTCTTCACACCTAACCCCATCTCTCCACAGCTAAGCCCATCTCTCCACACCTAACACCATCTCTCCACACCTAACACCATCTCTCCACAGCTAACCCCATCTCTCCACGGCTAACCCCATCTCTCCACACCTAACACCATCTCCCCGCACCCCATCTCTCCACAGCTAACCCCATCTCTTCACACCTAACCCCATCTCTCCACACCTAACCCCATCTCTCCACACCTAACCCCATCTCTCCACACCTAACCCCATCTCTCCACAGCTAACCCCATCTCTCCACAGCTAACCCCATCTCTCCACACCTAACCCCATCTCTCCACAGCTAACCCCATCTCTCCACAGTTAACCCCATCTCTCCATAGCTAACACCATTGCTCCCATGCTACTGCAGCATCTCTGCGTGAATGCGCGTACGCGTACGTCTCGCGTGCTAACCGCCCGTGTCTCTCACCAGCTTCACGTTGTGTCGGCCCGCTCGCTGCAGCGACTCCCGCTTCATCGAAACGACGAGCATCTCCGAGTGAAGCGTTACCTTGACGACGACAACTGAAGCAGCAGCGCACACACATGGAGGTCAGATTACAATGTTCTAATAGGTAAGGCTCATCTCGAGTTTATCAGAAAACTTCACAGGACTATGGTAGATTTGGGGGAAAAGCGAGGCCCCCATTTCCTTCAAAGGAGATGCACCAAGGCAAATTATCCTTCATCAACATTTTAATCTGAGAAAGGGAGGGCATGGAATCTTGTGTCCCGTTTAGCGCTGGGAGAGAGAGATACTAGAGGTAAGACGATTGACACCGCACGGGCTCATATGCGCTCTCGCCTACCTCTCACGAAGGCCTTCATCTCGTACGTGTCAAACGGGTCTTCGTGGGACGAGGACAGCATCACCTCGCTCATGGGACAGAATACCTGAAAGAAGAGCAACGCTCTCAATATCGCAAGCCTTCCTATAGAGACTAGATGGCAGTAGCCGTCGCAGTTGAATCCGCGCCGGGAGCACTAACGACGTGACCGGAGATGAGAAGTAGGGCCTCCTGTTGTTACCATAAAAAGTAGTTGTCAAAAGGAACAAACTGCTTCTGGGAAAGGTTTTACTTTCGTTTTTCTCCTCCCCAGTCCTTGGTACCCCCATGCATAGATCAATGCTGCCGCATATCCGAAAAGTTAGGGTTAGGAGTGAAGAAGTGCCTAGAATCTTGAAGTATATACAGTTTACATTGCTTCTAGATATCTAACTGAATAAAAATAGTCGACTTTCTACGTAAAGAAAAGTGCCGAATTCAGTTAACAGCTTTGATTACGTGCGTGTCAGGTGTCACTGGTCGTGCCCTCACTCCCGACCATAACCCTGCGACATATAAACTTCGCTACAGGCCGCGATCGATTTCTTAGACTGTCACGAGATTTTGTTCGTGTGGCGAATCATGCGTTAAGGGAGTTCATGCCCTAAGCTCTAGATGTTTTGGATATCCCGTCTACGTTCAGGAACAGAGCGTATTAGAATGCGCTCCCGTTTACAAGTCTGTCTAAACTGCCGTTGCGATAACCGTAGTATTTCAGCGTAATATGAGGGGAAAAAGTGCCGGTCTTGAGAACCGGCAGTTTCATAGAGATGATGGCCGAAGCAAAAACTTGGTCGCCCCGGGCCTCTGGGTCGCACTAATTTCGAACGCTGTAAATAAAGTGTAGTTTATTGATGAAAGAACACTGATTTTCGTCCACGAGGCAGTGTTTTTGGATAAATTTCTGCATGACGGGTGAGATTTGAGCGAGGCGGCCGCTTCGCTCGTGTCAATGCAGGGGAAACACTGTATATATATATATATATATATATATATATCGACTTAAATTTTATCATTATGTTACATTTTTAAATGGCTGATAGCTCTCCACATACTAGAAAATTCTCTGGTCATTCTCGCTAAGCCTTGCTTTACAGTCATCCGCCCATCACCTCTCACAGAACTTACCTTCACGCCGACGTCCCATATGCTTCGCTTGCTCGTAGCGCCATCTGTACACAGGACGGAGAGTTGCAGGCCCGACTCCTGTCTGGCAGCCACACTGCACACGAGCACGTCGCCTAACTGGACACTCTGTAAGATGGCGTCAATGATGGAAAGTCGCGCACGGCAGACGTAGCGTATGTGTAGTTGATGATGATAGGCTAGTCACACACCGGCAACTCGTGCTCTTAACACATGGTTAGAGAAATGCCAACACCGCTCGGCAGGTGGAAACAACCTTTCGATCGAGTTAAGAAATCTTACGACTGCTGGATAATGTGCCTGACATTCGGTGGGTACTATGCACACTTCTGCGTAGCAAAAATTGCTTTGTCTGACCGACCTGTGGTTCGCATGCGACGGATTTTACTTTACGGAAAAGGAAAAAAAGGAAACACACCTGGAAGAAATGCTGTTTCTGATCCATGTCAGATATGCCCATGTACGATTCCAGCGGTGGCATTACGGCGTGGAAGTCTGTGTGGAAGAAACAAGTGTAGTCAGGCACATTTACCATGTAATTACGGCGTATTATTATGCATTATGGCATGGGACACTACTGCTAATATAATAGTTAGTGCACCTACAAACGAATACTGTATAGGTACAGGAGCTCAGATGCTGTCCAATTATTGGTCATCATTTAGTGTAAAAAGATAGTCAAACCTGTATATACGTGTCACTCAAGGTGGTGTAACTGCTATGCAAAGGGAATGTCAAATGTGCCCTATATAGGCAAGAGAGAGTTTTATGGAGCACACTGCTAACACAAGTTTGATTGTAGTCACCATTTATGTTTTTTCAAAGATAGGCAATAATGTCAACACACTTAAAGGGAGTTTTTTTTTGCTCTAACCTGTTTTCTGTTTATGTGATGTGTATAGGAAACAATTTCATGACAAAATCGACATTTTGACCACAGATAGAAGTACCAAAACTAGGAGAACTGTCTGCCTCCAAGTTAGACAAGAAGAGAATTGACGCGTTAATTACATCAAACAGTTCTGTAACATGTGTTACGTTAATCCTAACAAAAGCGTGCACACAAGGTAGTAGTAACCGACTCCAAGAAAGGATTTTAAGCCAAGGCCCGGCCACATGCGACATAGTAGTGTGAGTAGTAATAACATACAATAACAAAGGGCTTCAAGTCCGTGTGGACGCCGACAAACTGATGCAGGGGTAGAAATAATTAACTTTTGAACAAGGGAGTCCAACGGACTCCCTGCCCTCAAAAAGAGGGAATCGGCGGCAAAATGAGGGCGTCCGCAGTCCGAAGTTCAAAATTAAAGATATTAACAATAACGCATGTGCTTATTTTGAAGATTCATGCGGTTGCACGTCTGCCAAATTCTATTTGGACATTTGCTGAAAAAATACGGTAATTCCGCAAGGCCGTGCTCTGGAACGAACTAGTTAATATGGCAAAATTTTCAGGGAGCCACACGGACTCCTGCATATGTCACATCAGGGAGTCCGGCAGTAAATCAGCGAGTATTTCACTTCGGACTCCCGTTAATTTCGCACCCTGCTGATGCATACATAGCGAACCCGACTGCGACACTCTCCCGCTCAACCGACCTGCTCACCTTCTTCTTCGTTGTCACGGCTCGGCTGCGAACTCGGCGCCACCTGTTGCTGCGTGAACAAAACGTCGCTCTTCTGCGCGATGAACTTCAGCACTCGGCAGCGAAGGTCCCGACCCTTTACGCTGCAACACGCAAGTGGAAACGTCGGTCAAAATACGACGAATGCTAGTGACGCCGATCCACCGCATGGCTGCCACAATCACCGACACGTTGAATGGACCTCGGTTGACTATCGACTGTCAGCTTATGTATGCCAAGCGTCAGCTCACTTGGTGGGGGCTAACCCCTAGATTTTTTTTTAACTTAATGCAAATTTCACCAATCGGACACATTTCTCAGCGTATTTCTCACAAAAAAGGTACATAATTTTTCAGATGAAATTTTCAGGTCGTCAAAGAATGTTTTACTTCCCGACAGGTTGCCCCACGACCGCCAGGTAGCGTGCCAGCCAAGTCGTCACGAGCAAGCGACTTTCTCGCTAGCGCTTGAGCTAATCACAATTGGATGTTTTTGATTGTACAAAATCCTGCACTGAAGTGTTCACCCGGCTTCCATGTACGCGTACTGCAGCTGTTCAAATAGCATGAAGTCCTGTCGGTTGACAAGACACAAACAGGACCCATCAATCCCAGATGGGTGGAGCATGGAACAAACTAAAATTGCTTGACAGCACTGGCAATGAGAGATCCCATCAGGGGCGTTTCGTTGCCCGTCTCACCTGGTTGGAGGCGGCTTCTCAGGGCGGTCGCACTGCATCCTCACCCCGGTCTCCCGCAGCGTGGCGAGAAAGTGGGTGCTCTGCTCCACCTGCACATACTGCAGCAGGTCGTTGCCATGGTAACTGACGGCTTTTGCGAGGTGATTGGCCCGCACACCTCTTGAGCGGTGTGCCAGTCGCTCCATGTCACAGCTATGGCATGGGCATGTATTCTAGATTTTTAGGACCATGAGCACACTAAAAAATTTATAACACAGAATAAAATATAAAACTCACTATTTCACTAACCAGTAAAAGTCATAGCAGGCCATCTGTGAGGCACAACTATTTCAAGAAAACACAGCATAATAATAATAATAACAAGTGCCGCAGAGCGACAGGGCTCATCTGGTGTCTGGTGTTCTGTGTCAGCCAAAGCATGGCAGCTGTCAGTGTGACGACAGATTGCAAAAAGCAGGAGCGAATAATTACCATATTATTACTATAGATTACGTGCGTTCTATGGTGTCAGGTAATAAGGTACATTAAACCCCTTGCGAGGCACATCTGGCTCGTTACAAAATAGCTCAATGGTTGATACAACCAGAGCAGCTCGTGCAAGATTACAATGTACAGCAATACGATAGCAAATATCTGTAAACTAATTTCAGTACAAGGTAGGCCAGTGATTAGTGGACCGAATAAGCTCAAGAACGTACACACTTGCGTCTATATTGGTGCCAAAATTTGATGAGAAAATTAAGTCTGGGAAATCCACAGCCTCACTCCTGGGTTATTATTTGAGTGCTATTGACTGTATTTCAACTATTCATAATGTACACTACAGAATCTCATATATAAGTCATCTCATTATCTCCTAAGTAAGCGTTGTTCAAGTAAGAGTTATGTGTGGAATTTCACTGTAAAATGGGAGCTTTCCACAACCACAGGTACTTGCCAACGCAGTTGAGAAACAAATCAATGTTTAACCCTCCTCTTGAGGGTCAAAAGGTTATCCGACACTTACTCTTCGCATGTCAGTGGAAAGTACATTTCATGGTCCTTTCAATAAAGCCATAAAAATGGTAGGTCACCGCTGAAACAAAAAAGTTTTTCAATCGCTCCGTCAGACCATGTCCTCAGAAAATGTTTAAAATCTGCTCTGTGCCCCATTGACTTTTGACCTGTGACCTCCAAATTCGGCACAGTGATGGCTTTTCCTACCATGATGCTATACACCGCCTATCACGAGCCTAGGTCGAGCCGTTTAGATTTGTGCCGCAATTCTGCATTTCCTCCCTATACCTTAAGTTAAGGATGGAATGTTCCCTTCTTTTACACCTCTTGACCTTTGACCTTTGACCCCCAGCTTCGACATCCCAACTCGTTTTGACGATCCCCCCCGATGTGCCAAATATCGTGACCGTACGTCGAGCGGTTAAGATTTGTGCCTAACTGTTGACGGACGGACGGACGGACAATCATGCGATTCTACAAGCTGCATCTGACTATGTCAGATGAGCTAAAAAAGTATGTGCATCATTTCTTTAACATCTTAACTTGATTTTGGTGAAATTTTATGGAAATCTGATGATTAGAAAGTTGTAATTTTTGTCCCGAAATGTTTACTCTGTCGAATCTTTGCCCAAATCCCTAATTACTAATTATGTAATTAAATGTGATTGTTATAAAGACAAAATCATGTATTTGATCCAAAATACTAACTTCAATCTACTTTTTGTAAAAATTTCACATGGAGTTCTTTACCCTGAAGAAAGTTATGAGCATTTTTGTTCTTCAGTTGCCGTTGGCTCTCCTCGATCACAACTTTTGTTTCAACACAATAGAAAACCAATGGGGATCAATATGAAAATTTATGTGTATGAAAATTACCATAACTTCCTTAAAACTAAAGGTATAGAAGTGAATAAGGTATCAAATTAAATGTATTGTCATGCTCTTTCAGATGGCAAAGGTTTTAGGGTATATTTATGACACCTCAAAATTTTGTAACATCCCTACTAGTACTAGTACTAGTGCTGATAGGGTCTATGTCACCCAGGGTACTGCTGGAACGTACCCTGGTAACTATCTAGCTGATAGTGATATGGTTAGGGGTAGGGTTAGTGTTAGTGTTAGGGTTAGGGTTAGGGTTAGGGTGGTTCAAGGATAGAGAACATAGGTCCCAATAAAACCAATGTCATTTACATCAATATAAATATAATATTATATCAATATAATAGGTTAGGGTTATGGTTAGGGTTAGGGTTAGAATTAGGGTCCCTAGACTCGTTAGTGGAGTATGCGAGGTACGGTCCGGCATATTAGATAGTAGTATTTAGTACCAGGGTACGTTCCGGTATACCCCCCGGTTCTTCCCTAACCCAGATGCGTTCGATTCCGTACCCAGGTTAACCCAGGTGGCTCTGGGGAAGCAAAACGAACGCACTATTAGTAATACTATTTTAACCAAGTCACAGTCAGTAACGCTGATAGGGTCTATGTCCCCCAGGGTACTGCCGGAACGTACCCTGGATACGGTCCGGTATACCGGAACGTACCCTGGTAACTATCTAGCTGATATGGTTAGGGTTAGGGTTGGGGTTAGGGTTAGGGAGTAGGTGTAGGCGACTCCCTAGACTCGTTAGTGGAGTAGGCGAGGTACGGTACGGCATATTAGATAGTAGTATTTAGTACCAGGGTACGTTCCGGTTGTTATGTTATGTTATGTTCTCATACTTGTTGGTGTCCACTACGCTGGATATAATGACAAGGTATTTGTACTTATATACTTATACTTATACTTATACCGTACCCAGGGTACGTTCCGGCAGTACCCTGGGGGACATAGACCCTATATCAGCGTCAGTAACCAGGCCCAGGGAGCACGACAACGATTTGTATCAATATATGATCATTTGCTGAAACTTATTTCAGTCATAAATTAGCAACAGTACTCAGTAGTTGTGTCGCAACCTCTTGCGACGTTTCGAACTTAAATAACAGAGATAATAATAATAAAACGATAAA